TGCTGTACTGTTCTATTGTCTCCCTTCATCCTCAGCTCAAGAACTGCTGGGGTACTTTGCTTGCATTTTTGTCATCATTACCCTTAGTGATTTAGGCTATGACCAGGTAACACACAGCAGCACAAAATAAAATACATAAATTGTCGAAAATATAAATGGAATATTATGTTAAGTGAAATTAGCTAAACACAAAAAGGCAAACCTTCAAGAGGGATTTTACCAAACAACCCCCATCAGTGTAACCTAATTCTTTGTATCTTCAATGTATCTCAAACAAAAAAAATAGGCAACCCTTATAGGTTCTCACTCATGTCTGGGAATTAAATAATAAAGCCACCTGATCTCATGGAGACAAAGAGTAGAATAACAATTATTAAAGGGCAAGAAAAGAGAAGGGGATAAAGCAGAGGATGGTTAATGGATGCAAAAATACTATGAGATAGAAGAAATATTTGACAGCACAACAAAGTGACTATAATCAACAATAAGTTAGAATATGCTATAAAACAACTAGAAATAAATATGAAACAATAAATGAAAGAGATGAACTGATACGATCCTAACACTAAGAAATAATTAATGCCTAAGGTAAAGGATACCCAAATTACTGAGATATAATTTAACAGTTTATGCCTGTATCAAAACATCACATATACCCTATATAAACACAAACACACTACCTTCATTGTTGACCAGTTCCCTACAATGACCACATACTTAAGTTGACCAAATAATTTTCATGGACCAGGCATGCACCACATGTATGGATCACTACAATAGGCCTAGTTCCTTATGTCAACTACCTCCATATATTAACAGTTTGTTACAATCCCTTGAATAGTCATCTTAAGAGGGTTTTAATGTATTTTGTACTCGTAATTATTAAAATTTAAGAGTACAGGGCAGCGCCCACAGCTCAGTGGGTTGGGCACTGGCCACACACACTGAGGCTGGTGGGTTCGAACTCAGCCTGGGCCAGCTAAAACAAAAATGACAACTGCAACAAAAAAATAGCTGGCTGTCGTGGTGGGCACCTGTAGGCCCAGGTACTTGGGAGGCTGAGGCAGGAGACTCGCTTGAGCCCAGGAGTTGGAGGTTGCTGTGAGCTATGTCATCACTGCACTCTACCCAGGGGGACAGCTTGAGGCTCTGTCTTAAAAAAAAAGAAAAGAAAAAGAAACGAGGTCTCACTTTGGCTCAGGCTGGTCTCAAACTCGTAAACTCAGGCAATCCACTAGCCTTGGCATCTCAAGTGCTGGGATTATAGGCATGAGCCTCCATATCTGGCAATATTCTACTTTTTTATATATAAATATTGATTCTACTGAAATTAAAACTCAATAAATTTAAAGCCTATGGACTGTACCAAACCTAGGCCTACTATACTGATATGTAATATGTACTTTAATTTCCTTGTCAGCTGTTACTAAAGAATATCATATGAAATCATAATCAAAATACAGTAAAAATCATACATGTTGTACCATACAAAATCAATATATTTACTGCTTTCCATGGGTTAATCATTCTTTCTACAAAAAAGAGTCGATCTTGGTCTGTTTCCTATTCTTAATCACAAACTTAAGTGGAGAAAGCACTCTCAACAACCACTCAGCATAGCTGGGCATTTTTCCACAGAAAATGACTTCAACTACATTATCAGATGCCTGACATCCTCTTCTTGGAGTCTCTTCCACAAACTCTCTTGGAACTTCCCTGGATTCACCACACAAGACTTCCAGAGAGATCTCCTATAACAGTTTAATTTTCTCAAACCAATCACTTGATTGATGCTTGGAAATCTGTCACCCCTGTAAAAATTGTTTAACAATTTCTTAGATCAGCGGTCCAGAGATTCAGGCTATACTCATTTGCTTGAACCAATTTCAAGTGACTTCACTGACTTCATCCAGGACAGTTTTCCTCCTTTTCTGTTGTAGGTCTTTGTATTCTTTACCATATCTCTCCAAGTACTCCTGTTTATGTTTCTGGATGTTCCTAATTGTGATCTTATTAACACCAAAATGTTCTGCTGCCTTTTATTGCCTGCTGCTTTCCAGCAGCAGAAAATGTAGATCAACCTTTTTGTTCAATGGCAGCTATCTGAATTTTTTCCTTTGGGCCATCATGTCTGGATTAACACTAAAATTTTTCAGTAATTGTAGGATATGCCAGCCTTTCATGTAGGAAAAAACAACTTCTGTAACAAGCAATACGCAATAGGACATTAGGCCAACACGTGGTGGTACTAAATCATGAAAGAACGACTTACACTATAATTTATACTATAGAAAAGAATAATCCAACTAAGGGACAAGGCCTACATCTTTTACCCACTGGTATAGAGTAGATTCAACTGGTGAAGATAGAGAATAAATTTTATAGAGGATAAATAAATACTCTGTGTCACAGTCCAACTGGTCAAGATACAACTTAAAGGCTTGGTGCCAGGAGCACAGTGGTTATGGTGCCAACCACATACACTGAGGGTGGTGAGTTCGAACCCAGCCCGGGCCAGCTAAACAACTGCAACAAAGAAATAGCCGGGCATTGTGGCAGGCACCTATATTTCCAGCTACTTGGGAGGCAAGAGAATTTCTTGAGCCTAAGAGTTTCAGGTTGCTATGAGCCACAGCACTCTACCCAGGGTGACACAGTGAGACTCTGTCTCCAAAAAAGAAAAAAAAGAAAAAAAAAGATACAACTTATAGAGGTGGTAAATATACACAGATCAGTCTTGCACTGAGCATACATGATGCATGTTCAGTTTATGAAAATTACGTCAACTTGAGGAGGTGGTTAATGTAAGGAGACGGTCAACTATGTATGGAGGATCTACTACATTACTAATACATTTAGAGAATTTTTTGGTTACACTTAGTATGTTTTCTCAAATAGGCAAAAGTATATCACGTTATTAAGGAAGAGGAAATTTCTAGAAGTTAACATTAATAGGGGGAGTCTATTCTTTTTTGAAAGATGAGACCTATGGACACACAGCAAGAAGCAACTCATCCCATGGCACTGCTGAGAATGATTAAATTACATCTAACACTCTCATGCAAAAGAATACAAACCATTTTTGGGAAGTACTACTTCCTCTATGTTGGGTACAGGTGTGGGGTCTTCCATATCCTTAGTAAGATCTTCTTGCTCATCTTCCTCTTTCTGACTTCTCCGTTTCCCATAAAGACTAGCTTGGCTAAAACATACAAGGTATATAAAATATAAACAAGACGGATAACAGCTACTTATAAAAACAATCTCTGAGACTCTACTTTCATTACTGTTAGAATCTATTCTCTCAAAACATGTTCAAAAACAAAGAGTAATCAAATAAAATGGACATATTCCACAAATTACATGTAACTAGTGAAAAAATAAAAGTTAATGAACATAAGAAATGGGTACCGAAATCCTACAACTCAAATTGCAAACAGTCTAATGAGAGGCATAAATTAGTATAATAAAAGAAGACCTGGAAGTAAATAAAACATTCTCTCTCAGATCATATAAACAATCACTTGTGTAAGAAATTTCCTCCAAGAAACGTAAAATTATATTTTCCTAGATCTTTGTATAATTCAAAGATCAAGAACTGCAAAGTAAAATTACTTAGTATGATATTAACTCTTTTTCTGTTGTTGTTGAGACAGCGTTCCACCCTATGCCCTGAGTAGAGTGCAAGGGTGTCATAGCTCCCTGCAACCTCGGACTCCGGCTGTGGGCATCCCGCTGCCTCAGCATCCAGAAGCCGCTGGCATTACAGACACTCACCATAGGGCCCAGCTGGATTTTTCCATTTTTTTAGGAGTTAGGGTCTCACTCTCACTCAGGCAAGTCTCAAACTCATGAGCTCAAGCAATTCTCCCCCCTCAGCCTCCCACAGTGCTGGGATTACAGGCATGAGCCACCATGCCTGGCTTAAGTCTTTTTTAAATAAAAATCATCATTGCTCTTTCACTAAAACCTCAATCAATTAAATATTTATAAAACTAATACATGTCAGAAGGTTAAATCAAAAATGGGCATAATTTCTTAAAATTCATTACCTACTTTACATAATGTGCTGCATAATAAAAAAAAATATAAACAATACAGCATTTCTACAGACAAATGAAAAGTATCACAAAAATACATCGCAGGAAGAAGAGTTTATAAAAATTGAAGGTTGAGAGTGAAGCTCAACCTTAAAAAGTGTGTAATAATTCACTAAGAAGTAAACAACATTTCAGGATAAAGAATAAAGGAATAAAAGCATAAGGGGGGAACAAACACTTGTTCTGGGAAGTAATGGCTAGTAATCTAGACTGCGCTGACAAGTAAGAGTGGAAATGGAGACACGTGAAGGAAACAGCATGCTTGCCCAGCATGAGTTCCTAAATTGTAGAGAGAATATTCAAAGTTCTCTCACAGAGACAACATATTGGTGTATGGTAGCATGAGATAAATAAGGTAAAATTTTTCCCACAGATAAAAATTAGATGAGGAGGCTCGGTGCTTATAGCTCAGTGGTCAGGGTGCCAGGGACACACACTGAGGCTGGTAAGATCCAACTCAGCCCAAGCCTTTTAAATTAAAAAAAAAAAAAAAAAAATGGCCAGGGGTTGTGGTGGGCACCTGTAGTCCCAGCTACTTGGGAGGCTGAGGCAAGAGAATCGCTTAAGCCGAAGAGCTGGAAGTTGCTGTGAGCTGTGATGTTACAGCACTCTACCAATGCTACTTGGGAAGCTGAGGCAAAAGAATCGCTTAAGCCGAAGAGCTGGAAGTTGCTGTGAGCTGTGATGTTACAGCACTCTACCCAGGGTGACAAAGTGAGACTCTGTCTCAATTAAAAAAATTAGATGATGGTTTTTTTTTTCCCTTTGAGACAGAGTCATACTTTCTCACCCTCAGTAAAGTGCCATGGTGTTACAGCTCACAGCAACCTTAAAAGCTTGGGTTCAAGTGATTCTTTTGTCTCTGGGTCCTGAGTAGCTGGGACTAAAGGCACCCACCACAATGCCCAGCTATTTTTAGTGATGGGGGTGGGGCTGGGGGGTGGAGGAGGTGTCTCACTCTGGCTCAGGCGGCTCTCGAATTCATGAGCTCAGACAATCCACCAACCTCGGCCTCTCTGAGTACTAGGATTACAGGTGTGAGCCATTACACCCAGCTTTATGATGGGTTTTTCAAAAAGCCTGTAAGCCGAAATGTGAAAGAGAGATAAAACACTTGAAAAAAAGAAGGCGGCTCAGTGCCCATAGCACAGTGATTACGGTGACAGTCACACAACAAGGCTGGTAGGTTCAAGCCCGGCCCAGGCCAGCTAAACGATGACTACTGCAACAAAAAATAGCTGGGCATTGTGGCAGGCACCTATAGTCCCAGCTACTTGGGAGGCCCGACAAGAGAATCACTTAAGTCCAAGAGTTTGAGGTTGCTGTGAGCTGTGACATAATAGCACTCTACTGAGGGTGACATAAGACTCCGTCTCAAAAAAAAAAAAAGAAGAAGAAGAAAAGATGAAGATGAATAAAAGAAAGGTTAAGAAAATAAATTTCAACATGTTTTGATTAAATACATGATTCTAATGAGAAAAGGCCTGGTCATTCGAAAGAAAATCTATTTACTATAGTACATGCACACATGAATTTTAGGAACCTCAATATGATCGGGTCATTAATCAAACAAGGATAAATACCACCACTGTGAGGCTCCTGGACATTACATCTTGGATCAATAACCACCATTTTAGCTCATGGCTGGTTTCAGGCCAAGGCACATTTGCAAAAGGTGATAGGCCATTCCTTGCAAACAAAACACCTCAAGTAATTCTGAAATCTCCAAACATCAACATAAAGGCTGAGATTAGAAAGTGTAGTTAAAAAGAAAGTCAATTTTCAATAATATCAATGAAAAATCCATTTTTATGGTTTCAATTTTTATGTCACAATACATATAGCTTATTAAAATAACATTAATAATGTGCCTGGCTCATTAATGTTGTATGTGAAATGAAAATGTTTTCTTTTTTTTGAGATAGAGTCTCACTCTGTCATCCTGTGTAGAGAGCCATGTTGTCATAGCTCACAGCAACCTCAAACTCTTGGGCTCAAGCAATTCTCCTGCCTCTTGCTATAAGAAACCGGAATTAGAGACACCCGCCATTATGCCAGGCTAGTTATTCTGGTCTCTAACTCCTGGGCTCAGGCAATCCACCTGTCTCAGCCTCCAGAGTGCTAAGATTATAGGAGTGAGCCATCTCGCCTGATCACAAAGAGGTGTTTTTTTTTGTTTGTTTGTTTGTTTTTTAAGACAAGAGTTTCACTTTCTCGCCCTCAGTAGAGTGCCATGGTATCACAGCTCACAGAAACCCTGTAGCTGGGACCACAGGCATCTGCCACAACACTCGGCTATTTTTTTTGTTGCAGTTTGGCCGGGGCTGGGTTCAAATCTGCCATCCTTGGTATATGGGGCCGGCACCCTACTCACTGAGCCACAGGCTCCACTCCACAAAGAGGTTTCTATGAATGATTAAGAATGTTTATAATGGGGCGGTGCTTAGGAGGCAGCAGCCGGCCCCATATGCTGGAGGCGGTGGGTTCAAATACAGCACCAGTCAAAAACTGCAAAAAAAAGAATGCTTATAATAACTCTACCCTTCACTGAATAACATGATTCAAAGTCATATTCAGGGAACAGAAATGCCAATTTGACTAGGGAGGAGAGCCTATATTAGAAAGCAGCAGAAGAGAACATGACAACTAGATCTTTACAGTCCAGGCAACAGCCAGAAATTTAACATGTCTACTATCAAATGAGAATAAACAATTTTTAAACTGTTGTCTTTTCACTAAGACTAAACTACAACCTTTGGAAGATTATACATAAAATATTTTGAGGTGAGTAAACCTGAAGTTATTAATTATCAACTGGGCGCCCATAGCGCACTGGTTAGGGTGCTGGCCACATACACAGAGGCTGGCAGGTTTGAATCCAGCCCCCAGGCCTGCTAAGCAATAACAACAACCACAACAATAACAACAAAAAAATATCTGGGCATTGTGGTGGGCACCTATAGTCCCAGCTAGTTGGGAGGCTGAGGCAAGAGAATTGTTTAAGCCCAAGAGTTTGAGGTTGCATTGAGCTGTGATGCCACAGCATTCTACCAATGGTGACAAAGTCAGACTCTGTCTCAAAAAAAAAAAAAAAAAGTTATTGATTATCTGATTATCTACTTAATATATAATGATAAATTAAGTTATTATTTATGATTTATTACATGTATGCTACACAAGGCCACGCATTGTGCAAAAGCTTTAAAAATTCTCATTTAATACCACAACAATTATTCAGTAGTAGCCATTAATACTCATTCGACCAAAGCTCATTAAGTACAAATATATATCGCAGAACAAGGCAATAGGCTGTCATGCTTTGGAGAACATGAAGCCACAGGTCCATCTCCTCTGAGACAACCTGACCAATTCTTGCTAGCCATGCTTCTCTAGATATACTTAGATAGTAAAAAAAGATTATATTCAGCAGGGCTTTGTATAAAAACAACATAAGACATTTGTAGGATAACATCCTATAATAAAATAAGTTGTCTAAGCAAAAGACTTCCAACCAAGTCATGGTGCAACTTACTTTCAGCGAAATGTCCAATTTAAATGTAAAAATCGGCAAGTCCTTTGTAGTTTGTTTAAATGCTTTTTAAATCATATTGTAGTTCTTACCCTTTCTTTCCACTCTTCTTTCGTGATTCTGTGGGTGTGGGAGGAGGGGGTGAAGGTGAATGTTTTCTCTTCCGAGCATTAGCTGATGCTTTTCTATCTCTTCTCTCTGGGCTTCTAACTGGCTAGGAAGAAGTAAATGAAATAAATATCAACCAGCTTTGCTGATGCCTCAGTTTCTACAAACCCCTGTCCAAAGATGAGCGTCCCAGCTTGGCGCCCGTTGCACAGTGGCTATGGCACCAGCCAAATACACTGAGGGTGGTGGGTTCGAACCTGACCTGGGTCAACTAAACAACAATGACAACTGCAACAAAAAAATAGCTGGGTGTTGTACAGGGCGCCTGTAGTCCCAGCTACTCGGGAGGCTGAGGCAAGAGGATCATTTAAGCCCATGAGTTTCAGGTTGCTGTGAGCTGTAAGGCCACAACACTCTACCCAGGGCAATAGTTTGAGACTCTGTCTCAAAAAAAAAAAAAAAAAAGGATGAGTTTCCCCAAAGACAGCACCAAACCCATAGTTCAGAGGAAATGAAAGTCATACCATTAAGCATATAGGAAAATTGGGATTAAAGAGACTTTCCTTGACCTTTCAGGTGATGTACCACCAACGGAAGTATCAATTATCCATAACACAAGCATATCCAATCCTTGCACATTTAAAAACTGTTACTATTGACATGCTGTGCTTAGAGGTAAGAAAACAATTTTCAATAACTACTAGAAAAATATAAATATGTTATTAAACTGATCAAAATGAAAGACAAGCCAAATCATCCTGTGGAAATGCACCATTATAGGCTCAGTGGTGGTAGCTCAGCAACTAGGGTACCAGCCACGTACACCAGAGCTGGTAGATTCAAATCCAGCCCGGGGCTGCCAAACAACAATGACAACTACAACCAAAAAATAGCTGGGCATTGAGGCAGGTGACTGTAGTCCTAGCTACTTGGGAGGTTGAGGCAAGAGAATCAATCACTTAAGCGAAAGAGTTTGAGGTTGCTGTGAGCTGTCTGTGATGCCAGAGCACTCCACTGAGGGCGACATAGGGAGACTCTGTCTCCAAAAAGAAAAGAAAAAGAAATGCACCATTACAGAAATTATTCTTGAGTAAATGAGAAAAATGAATAGAAGTTATAACTTTATGGCACAAAAGATATTACGTAAGATTGCAACATCATTTAACCCTTTGCATGTGGAGCAATCAAAAACAAAATGTGCCAATGAGGTGTACAGGGATTGCAACAACCAATAACAATACATGGTACCCTACTGGGATGTTCTCTAGTTTCTTACTAATTAAAATAATTCACCCATGAGCAGCACCTGTGGCTCAAGGAGTAGGGCACCGGCCCCATATACCGGAGGTGGCAGGTTCAAACCTGGCCCCGGCCAAAAAGAAAAAAATTCATCCAAGTTGGTTTCAACTTCAGTATTTTACATATGTATATAAAATATGCATGAAATGATAAAAGTCTGCCATATCAGTACAAATTTAATAACCTTTTTTTGAATGGTACAACTCAAAACACAGTTCAATACATAATCCAACATTACACTGCATGCATTAATATGTTTCTATTCACTTTTTATGTTTTGTGCAAACAACACATCTCCAGCAGGCCATTTTGCTGCATTACTATTGGATCGCTATACTTTGAGGAAAATTCCTTTCAGTGAGACTGAATGGATTTTTATCAGAAACATTTCTTCCTCCAGAGTTGTACACTATGATTAACAAAATGTTATGAGAAGAATAGCAGAAACACTTCCAAAATTGATGATCTGGCCAGGCATGGTGACTCAAGCCTGAGAATCATAGCACTCTGGGAAGCCAAGGCAGGTAAACTGCTTGAACTGAAGAGGTCAAGACCAGCCTGAACAACAGTGAGACCCCTATCTCAACTAAAAATAGAAAAACTGGCTCAGCACCTGCGGCTCAAACAGCTAAGGCGCCAGCCACATACACCTAAGGTGGTGGGTTCAAATCCAGCCAGGGCCTGCCAAACAACAACGAAGGCTGCAACCAAAAAAATAGCTGGGTGTTGTGGCGGGCACCTGTGGTCCCAGCTACTTGGGAGACTGAAGCAGGAGACTCGCTTGAGCCCAGGAGTTGGAGGTTGCTGTGAGCTGTGATGCCACAGCACTCTACCCAGGAAGACAGCTTGGGGCTCTGTCTCAAAAAAAGAATGATAAAATAAAATAAAAATAAAAATAAAAATAGAAAAACTAGTGGGTGTTCTGGGAGGAATTGATAGTTCAAGCTACTCCAGAGGCTGAGGGAGGAGAATCACTTGAATCCAGGAGTTTGAGGTTGCTCTAAGCTATGATACCTTGGTACTCTGCCAGGGTGACAAACTGAGATTACCTCAAAAAATAAAAATACAAGCTCACACCTATAATCCTAGCACTCTGGGAGCCCAAGGTAAGCGATTACTTGAGATCAGGAGTTCGAGCCTGAGCAAGATACTGTCTGTAAAATAAACATAATAATGATGATAACCAGGCATTGTGGTGGGCACTATAGTCCTAGTAACTGGGGAGGCTGAGGCAAGAGGATAATTTAAACCCAAGAATTTGAGGTTGCTGTAAGCTATGATGCCACAGTACACTATCCAGGAGGGAAAAGTGAGACTCTGTCTCAAAATAGAAATGGAAAGGAAAAGGAGAAAGGAAAGGAAAAGAAAAAGAAAAGAAAATTGATGGGCCAGTTGCATTGGCTCGTTCCTATAATCCTAGCACTCTGGGAGGCCAAGGCAGGTGCACTGCCCGAGCTCACCAGCCAGAGCCAGCCTGAGCCAGAGCGAGACCTTGTCTCTAAAAATAGCCAGGGAATGTGGTGGGCAGCTGTACTCCCAGCTACTTGGGAGGCTGAGGCAAGAGAATCACTTGAGCCCAAGAGTTGGAGGCTGCTGTAGGCTAGTGGTTCTCAACCTTCCTAATACCGCGACCTATTTTCATTGTTACAAAGGGGTCGAGAGCCACAGGTCAAGAATGCCTACGTAGGCTGTGACATTATGTCACTCTACTGGGAGCAACAAAGTAAGACTCTGTCTAAATAAATAAATAGAGTTTTGAGGTCTCTCCAACTCCTGGCCTCAACTCCCAAAGTGCTAAAATTATGTAAGCCAGCACATCACACCTCACAGCAACCTAAAATTCCTGGGCTTAAGCGATTCTCTTCCCTCAGCCTCCCCAGTAGCTGGAACTATAGACGCCCACCACAACGCCCGGGTGGTTTTTTTGTTGTTGTTGTTGCAGTTGTTATTGTTGTTTAACAGGCATGGGCTGGGCCTCAGTGTATGTGACCAGCACACTACCCACCAGCCTCGGTGTACGTGGCTGGCACCCTACCCACTGAGCAACAGGCGCCAAGCCTTTTTTGAGACAGACTCTCACTTTCTCACCCTTGGTCGAGTGCCATGGCAACACAGTTCACAGCAACCTCAAACTCTTGGGCTCAAGTGTTTCTCTTGCATCACCTTCCCATGTAGCTAGGAATATAGGGACCCACCACAATGCCTGGCTATTTTTAGAGATAAGGTCTGGCTCTGGCTCAGGCTGGTCTGGAACCCATGAGCTCAGGCAATCTACCTGCCTCAGCCTCCCAAGTGCTAGGATTACAGGCGTGAGCCACCACACCCAGGCTCAGACTCAAGTCTTCTTCTAATGATACATCTACTTTGCAAGTAGGCTTTATTAGGGAATCCTGGATAAATATCTAAATAGTTGAACTTCTTGAAAGATTAACATAGGTTAAATGTCAACTCCTGCACTCCCAGAAAGGAAGGCTGACTTGTGAGATGTTTAAGGCTTCTACTTTATACAAACTATTGTCTATGAATAACAGGGTTACTCAGGCTGATGGAACACGCCTGTACTCCTAGCACTTTGGGAGACAGAAACAGGTGGATTGCTTGAGCTCAGGAGTTGGAGACCAGCCTAAACAAGACTCTCTACTAAAAGTGGCAAAAAAAAAGTAACTAAGAGAAAAAAAACTAGCCGACCATGGTGGCTGGGGCCTGTAGTCCCAACTACTGGGGAGGCTGAGGTGAGAGGATCACTTGAGCCCGTGAGTCTGCGGTTGCTATGAGCTATGATGACACAATACCACTCAACGCAGGGTGAGAAAGTTAGACTCTGTCTCAATATAGAAACAATACACAAAACAAAAAAACACCCATCCCCGGCCAAACTGCAACAAAAATATAGCCAGACATTATGGCAGGTGCCTGTAGGCCCAGCTACTCGGGAGGCTGAGGCAAGAGAATTGCCTAAGCCCAAGGGTTGGAGGTTGCTGTGAGCTGTGTGACACCATGGCACTCTACCAAGGGTGATAAAGTGACACTGTCTCTACAAAAAACAAAACAAAAAACAAAAGTTACTGAAAAATAATAAAATGAGTTTCCCTTAGAAAAACAGCTAATTTCAATTCTGTAATGATGATATTTGATATATAAAACTAAAATTCACATCTAGAGAACAAACTCAGCTTTTCACACCTGCCATACAGTACAGGCTACTTTTTAAGTCTTAATGACCCTTTGAGATTTTCATTCTGACTCTGGATGAGATTATCATCTTTTTTTTTTTTTTTGCAGTTTCTGGCCAAGGCTGGATTTGAACCAGCCAGCTCTGGCATATGGGGCCAGCACCCTACTCCTTTGAGCCACAGGTGCCGCCCAGGATTAGCAGCTTTTGAGATGGTTGTTAGTGCCACTTAGGAAATTTTACATGTACTTGATGGCTAATGCACTTTGGTTAGCACTTGACACTTTATTGATGAAGATTTGGTAACATGCAGGCCACAAAAGAAGAAACATCTACTAGTGAAAACACAGCCAAACAAAATACCTCTTCATTCTTTGTTGAAATTCGCTGACGAAAACTCACAGGCTTCCTATTCTCATCCACCTCATAATCCTCCTCATTCATCCATTCATTAAAAATGTCAGTGTCCAAAATCCATTTCACATGAACCTAAAACCACAAAGGACAAACATCAACATAAATAATAAAATCACTAAAGCTTTTAAAATATTTAAAAGGTGATTTATTATATTCAAAGCCTCAATTATGTAAAACAGATTAAAAATGTAATACGAGTAATGATCTATAAATTGTAACCATTTCTAATTTTTACTCAGTGTCTTTTATTGATTAGAGAGGACAAGGAAAGCATCATGGATTTGGCTTAGACTGAGATTCTCATAGCTAAGACCTTCAAATTAGTCAATCATTTTGTCTTTATCTTCATGGAAATTACTAATAAAAACATTCAGGGACCCATTAGTCAAAGTTGGTTATGGCTTTAAGTATAACAGATACCTGTGGGTATACGCAATTAACAATATTTTAGGAAATGATGAAAGAGAACCTTTATAGAGATCTATCACCGAACCTGATTAAATGTAAATGGTGTTCTATGAAAACCCTTCAGAGATAGTAAAGCTTGCAATAGGGGGCGGGGTGAGAGTCAGATACTAGTTTATTACCACTCTTTTATATGACCACTTCTCTTACATTAGCCAATGCTTCTGAGTAGGAAGTTACAAAAGGTTCTTCAAATGTCATATAGATGTAGATATAAATATATGAATAGGGACAGTTAAACCACACAAATAACCAACATAATTTTCCATTTTATGCAACAGTATTCTTTAAGGAGGTTACAAATGAGATTTGTACTCACTACACAACTCTTCCCTCTATGAGACTACTGTTGGCACCCCAAGTCATAAGAAGATTCGGGTTGGGGAGATGCAATGAACATGAATATGCCCACGAAGAACCAATTATAACTTATGATGTCTTCTTCTAACACTGTAATAATAAGGTAGTTCATGGCATAATCACTAGATGACAAGATGAACTTGATAATAAAAATATTCTTGGGTGGTGAGTACAAACTCAGCCCCGGCCAAAAACTGCAAAAACAAGCCAACAAACAACTTTTGGGCAGTGCATGTGGCTCAGTGAGTAGAGAGCAAGCCCCATATACTGAGGGTGGCAGGTTCAAACCTGGCCCCAGTCAAACCACAACAAAGAAATAGCGTTGTGGTAAGCACCTGCAGTCCTACCTGCTCGGGAGGCTGAGGCAAGAGAATCACCTAAGCCCAGAAGTTGAAGGTTGCTATGTGTTGTGTGACACTATGGCACTACCAAGGGTAACAGAGTGAAACTCTGTCTCTAAAAAAAAAAAATATATATGTGTGTGTGTGTGTGTATATATATATATGTATACATATATATATATATATATGTATACATATATATATATATATATATGTATACACACACATATACATATACATTCTCTCAGGCTCAGTGCCCATAGCACAATGCTTAAGGCACCAGCCACATACACCAAGGCTGGCGGGTTCGAAACCAGCCCAGACCAGCTAAACAATAACTTCTGCAACCAAAAACTAGCCAGGCATTGTGGTGGGTTGCCTGAAGGGATGAGGCAAGAGTAAGCTGTAATACTATGGCACTCTACTGAGGGTGACATAGTAAAACTATCTCAAAAAGAAATTTAAAAAAAATTTTTTTCTCAGGCAAGTGAGGTGATTCCCACCTGTAATCCTAGTACTTTGGGAGGCCAAAGGGTCGTTAAGTTTGAGACCAGCCTTAGGAAGATCATGTCTCTACAAAAAATAGGAAAATTAGGCTCGGCACCTATAGCTCAAGTGGCTAAGGCGCCAGACACATATACCAGAGGTGCGGATTCAATTCCAGCCCAGGCCTGCCAAAACAAGCACAACTATAAACAAAAAATAGCCAGGCATTGTGGCGGGCGTTTGTAGTCCCAGCTACTTGGGAGGCTGAGGCAAGAGAATCGCATAAGCTCAGGAGTTGGGGGTTGCTGTGAGCTGTGATGCTACCAAACTCTACCCAGGGCGACAGATTGAGGCTCTGTCTCAAAAAAAAAGGAAATCAGATGAATATGATGGTGTGCGCCCAGAGTCCCAGATCCTCAGGAGACTGAGGATGGAAGATGGCTTGAACCCAGGAGTTTGTGGTTGCAGTGAGCTATGATGACACCACTGCACATTACCCAGGACAAAAGATGAAGACCCTATCTCAAAAACTATATACATTTTGTCAATCTCAGTCCTAACTGCCTCATTTTATTATAAAAAAAGGGCTCCTAAATTGGTCATTACACATATCCTGATTTAAGAATAAAAGCCCTCTCACTACACGCCCCCTCTCCCTTGAAAACTACAGTTACATGGTAATATACCCAAATACAATTAATACCCCATTGAGGCCAGGTATGGTGGCTCACACCTGTAACTATGGCACTCTAGGAAGGCTAAGGCAAAAGGATCTATGGAGGTCAGGAGTGAAGAAAATTATACTTTAATTGTTCAATTATACAACTAAATAAATGAGGAGATGAATGTACCCAGATCAAGAGATTTAATAGTAGGATGATTTTGGTTTTTTTCAAAACTAGACTATAAACTCAGAATTTAATTCCACTCAAAATAGTAATGAAGCCAGGTGTGGTGGCTCATGCCTCCTAGCAGTCTGAGAGACCCAGGAAAATTGACTGCCTGAGCTTACAAATTCCACACCAACCTGAGCCAGAGACCAACCTCATATCTAAAGTAGCCCAGCATTGTAGTCCCAGCTAGTCCAGAGGCAGAAACAAGTGAATCTCTTGAGCCAAAGAGTTTGAGGTTGCGCAATGGCACTTTACCCAGGGCAAGAAAATGAAACTTTGCCTCAAAAAAAAAAAA